CTAACACCCTCACCCCACCCCACCCCAACCACTCCTTGCCCCCTTCCCCGCCTCGACCCCCACCACCAGCACCCCCGACCCCTCGAACCCCCCCCCCCCCCACCTCCCCCCTACCCTCACACCCCGACCGGCCCTTAACTACGTACCCTATTCATAACTCATCTTCACCCTTTGACATCCCTTCTGCTCCTGTAATGTTTGTTTGAGTTATCTACGAATAATTTTGAAATAACATTATATACTTAATTACTAAACATTAAAATAATTTTTAAAATTACTTATTTTTCAGATGAAAAATATATATTCCTCCCTATCAGACACATTCTAATTTTTTTTTGTTTTTTTATAAAAAAAACATATAATTTGTCAAGGTAAACACCAATATAATGACTTGTTTTTTGGGGGTGGCAGCTAGGGTTAGTGTATTAATATTTCCATAACAATTACAATGACTTTGTCTGGTATTATTTAGACCATATGACTTTGATATATCATTTCAATGCCAAAGTCCAGTTGTAATACATTGCTGATTCATCATTTCAAGATTCAACTAATAATAATTCACAATTTTTTAAAAAAAAAGAATTACAAAAAAAATAATATAAATTTATTTGTTTCTTGGAACAATTGCACACTATATAATATTAAATTCACTTGGTTCTTGTTAAGTTGGATTTATTAATTCATTAGAATGATTGTCATGTGCATACATCATTTCAAATAATTTCATTGTTTTTTTTAAATATTAATTCTATAAATTTATTTTATTGGATCTTTGTAACTAAAGTAAGCAAAAACAATTATTAATTTTTTGCATGGTATGGACCAAAATGTCGAACTTCCATGACCAGAAAAGGACAAGAACAGAAACATATTGCGATGTACATGTTCCATTCTTGTCTTCCAATTAATTATACGAGAAAATTTATTCGCACTTGATATTTAAAAGTTGAATATATACGAAATAAATAATGTAAGTATATGCATGTTATGTGTCTCGTATGTATTATTTTAATATAAATATCGAATACAAATAATTTTATATTGTTGACAATTATTTTGATTAGGCGAGTGTATATATGTCATATATGTGACATGTTAAATCACACGATTCATTTTTTATATAAAAGTGTCTGTTTATGCATACTTAAAATTGAATAGTACATTTATGTATTATGTGAATGAATTTGTCGTTAACCATTACTTTTGATTAGGTGATTTTATATGAGACATGTTAAAGCATGCGATTACATGCTTTATTTATATAATTTTAAAATTAAAAAACACGCTTATATATTATAATCGATGGATAATATATTATAGTTGACAATAGTTGACAGTGTGTAAAGTTAAAAGATAACATTTGAAACTTAGATTGGTAGGGGCTGCCAAAATTCATGTGATATTCTTGCTTTTTTCCACTGTCAATTCCCTCTTTAAAATGCAATCTCCGATCTTCACTTGTCAGAGAGCTTGACCAACTAAATATAAAAAAATAAAATTTCATCAATAGTTTCTTGACTTATACGAAGGAGTGTGGTTTGTTCGAAAAATTTCTACCTCTCTATTTATATCTAAAATATTTGAATTTTTCAAAATTTTATAGACACGAAGAAGAAAAATGCTATCGATTGATATATAATATGATTAAAATAATAAACAATTATCACTTATTTGTACACCTTGTACTTATTTCACCAAGTAATAACTAGATAATGTTTTTTTTTGTCCATTTAACGGTAATGTTTGAATTAATTTTTATGCACCTCAATTATTTTATGAGATATACATAAATATCGAGTATTTCTGTCCATCATGCACTGGTAGATGATAAGAAAACAAATGTTTTCCTCTATTAATATTTATCACGAGATTAATGAAAGATATAGAGGGAAAGTGGTTTGAGAAATGTGATTATTAGTTGGAAGCTAATTGTTTTATCTTGCTTTTAACTTGGCTTGAAAATTAGAGAAAGGAAAATTAAAATTTTAAAACTCAACCAACGGTTTTGAAAAGGCATAATACATAAATGTGTTCTTTAACTTGGCTTCATTTTACGTTTATGTCTTCCAATTTTGGATATGCACAAGTAAACATTTAAACTTGTATAGAGTTGAACAAGTAAACACATGAGTCCTACATGACACAATACATGCAGGACACCACGTAGGACAAAAAATGACATGTAGGATGCCATGTAGGACATGTGTGTCTATTTGTTCAATTTTATACAAGTTTAAGTGTCTACTTGTGCACACCCAAAGTTGAAGGACATAAATATGATTTGAAACCAAGTTAAAGGACATATTTATGTATTATGCCTTTTGAAAATATTGAAATTTTACTTATTAAGTTTCTAAGTAAATTAAAAACATTATCTCTAGGCTTTATGATAGTTTAAAGGCATAACACATAAATGTGCCCTTTAACTTGGCCTCATTTCATATTTATGTCCTTCAACTTTGAGTGTGCACAAGTAGACACTTAGACTTGTATAAAGTTAAACAAGTAGACACATGAGTCTTGCGTGACATAATACGTAGGACGCTTCATAGGATTCAAATTGTCAGGTAGGATATCACGTAGGACGCGTCTGTCTATTTGTTCAACTTTATACAAGTTTAAGTGTCTATTTGTGCACAGTCAAAGTTTGAGGGCATAAATGTAAGCTGAGGCCAAGTTAAATGACATATTTATATATTATGTATAGTTTAAATAACAATAGTACAACTTAGGAGAGAATACATAAACATGACTATTAACTTGACTTCAACGGATAACTATGCCCTCCAACTTTGAGTGTGTACAAGTAAACACTTAAACTTACATAATATTGAATAAGTAGACAGATGTGTCCTACATGGCATAATACATGTAGGACGTCACGTAGGATACTAAATTGTCATGTAGGGTGCCATGTAGGATGAATGTGTCTATTTGTTCAATTTTATACAAGTTTAAGTGTCTGCTTGTGCACACCCAAAATTAAAGATCATAATTGTCAATTGAAGCCAAGTTACTTTTGCCAAATATATTTGAGCGCATAAGTTATTTTGCATATGAGGCGAAAATTCGAGATAGTGAAAATAATATAATGTGTTGCATGTTGAACAAAAGTTTCAGTTGTATTGACTTGTGAACAACTGAGCAACACAAACAACTTTTGCCTATAAGGCAGAACTTTCAATTGAACATATTTACTGTATTGAAATGTCCCGAACTCTTGCCTCATAAGCCAAACTAATTTATCCCACAACTTATGCACGATTGGCAACATTCACATTGTTATTGATTTGTTAGACAAGAACCACATACAACTTTTTTTTTTTTACAGAAAAGTACTAGCTTTAAGATTTCCAGAAATCAACTATTGAATCAAGAGAGACCCAACATATTGTGATTTTGCATTCACCAAGACTGAATATCAATGTGTTTCTTGTATATAGTCTTTCTAATTTGAGTTTCACGTAAAATTATCTATAATTTTCGGACTTGTTTTTGATAAAATAATCACTATAATCAGGCATCCGAAGGGTCATGGAAGTTACCAACCTAAGCCATGTGTCTTTATTGATCATGCATTGACTCCGTCCAAGGATAGTCTATTTATATAATGATGCAACTCAATCAAGCATTGCGTGAACAACTATAGTTACAGGTGTGTATAAGTAATCTGTAAAAGTACATGAAGAATCAATTCAAATAATCAACATATATATCAAACGCGTTCAATACAGGTATGTCTGGAGAAATTAAGAATCCGCGCACATTCTATATGATATAGATCAATGTTCAGAAATTAGAAAGTAATTAAATTGACAGAATTAATCACAATTATTATAACAATAAGTGCAAAACAAGTGAATAGAACACAACCAATATGCATATTGAAGGGTACATGTACAACTCCTATATCTAAGGTACGCGAGGACCTCATAGTCAACAGTTCATACATTAAAAATGTTATTCAGCAAAGCAATTCATATGTTCGATATGGAGAATTAACTTGACAAAAGTTTGGTGACAAGCAAAATATAAAGATCAATTTTATTTATATTTTTGCATTCTCCTAGTCGTACATATTTTCAATTTGAGAATGTAAAAAATAGTCAAAACATACGTCACTACAAAATTAACTCCCTTGTCCTACCAACACAACCCCGATAATATAATCATACTGTCGCCATCACAAACAATGATATTTGATTTAAAAGCTTCTTCTACTACCCGAAAAATAATATTTTATTGGATACATCTCACTAGAATATAAAACAAAGCAACCGCCTTTGTTTGTACAACTTGATAATTTATGTGGTCGGTTCAACAATGGCTTTACCGCCCCAAAAATAAGGCCTCACGATTTAAAAAAAGAGATCTTATGCTTTAATATATATATAATGCTCATAAATTTTAAAATATATGATAATTAATTATAATTATTTTTTATAGTCGATATAATATTTCTTGTAATAATTCGTAAGAGATCATTAGACATATATAAATTATTATATGTTGTATAACACTATAAATGTTTACTTCTTAGATACGTTCTTATTGATTATAGTTTTAAATTTTCTATCAATTGAATCAATTGTTATATAATCTATCAAAACATTCTAAAAGTAGTAGGAATATTTTTTTAAAATTGAGACTTCACCGATTGAGTATACCATTTAGAGTATCATTTTTACTTGTATATATATTGTATTACATTTAGTAACAAAAATAATTCTAAGTCATAGTGATTGTTACGCTTTAAAAGGCAAAAGATTCAAAGTTAAGACAATATCTTTTAAAATTTAATTATTTGATAAGCTAATTAGTTTGAGCATGAAATGTGTAAAAGACACCTCAAAGAATTGATTCAAATTGAAGTGAATTAGACAAATTAAGAAGCAATTGCCTAGAAGGCTACAACTTTTAATTATAATTACATCAACTGTATTTCTAAAAATTAATAATAAAATTTTAAAAATATATGCATATTGATTGGTAAAAGGTTGACAACAAACTATTAAGAAATTTTCAATTAATTCTAACAATAAATACATAGACCAGAATTGAATATCAAACATGTTTTTCATACAGTTAAAAGAAACTGAGTTAGCCAATTGGTAATGTCTCAAGTGATATACATACATGGCTTATAAATTAAAGGACTACTATACAGCCTTCGCTGTTAAGGTGGCGATTTGTCACCTCGAGCTAACTACTTGGGACGACACTCTAACGTAGCAAATGCAGAGGTAAGGAGGCCTTTGTCATTTGGAAGAACTCTCTGCTTTACTAGTACTAGATGTAGATGTGAAACTAACAGGGCTCACCGGATGATCCTTCACGATCAAGCTAAGAATTTCAGGTCTTGCGTAGTGTCCAACCACATCAAAATCAAACTTGGCGCGAACAATTTCTCCAAGATCTGTTTAAAAATGATAGTTAATAAAGTGAGCTAGTGAAAACGAGCTTCATAAGAATAGGAGACGGGAGGAGAAGTGAAAATATGTAATAATGCAAGTCAATCATGTTGCTCGGTTATGGAAACATATGTGATATGAATGTGTACAAGTACCCTGTACAAGTACATGCAGTTCACTAAGTTTTAGTGTGCTCCAAAGAATCTATGTGATAGTGTGAGAATAGACTCTTTATGTTTTCATTGATCATATATAGAATTTAGAAATCGGAGTATAACTGCAGTCGAATGCACTTTGCTTATACGAGTAAAGTACTACTACGAAATGCAGGAAGTGCACAACCTGTCTGACATATATCAAACTTCAGAGACCACAAAATTGTCGGAACGAAAGGATTAATTTGAACAACTATGCACAACCAATATGCATCTTGGGGCATAGACACGGTATATCTAAAATATACATGTAACATGAAGAAACATTTTATTCCATAGAGAAATTTGTGAGAAGCATACATGCTACGTGGAGAAGTAACTGGGAATAGGATTAATGACAAGTAAAACAAACACCAATCTTTTGCAATCTTCTCTTTCACTTTTTGGGGATGAGAAAACCTGTTTACTTCCTACTTTGACAAAGAAGCTGAGGGTATCACTTTTCAACAACTGATTTACGAAAATTCCATGCACAGTACATATTTAATGTCTACTTGAGAATGCAAAATAAGACAGCTCACTAACGTACCTAGATCAGCTGAGATGAGTGCCTCCCCGTCATAATTTGGTCCTGCCAGCACTGCCCCTGATGGTGATATAATTACACTGCCACCAGCACAAACAACGGAATCTGGCGTAAGATCTTCTTCAGTGCCGGAAAAAACATATTCTGGTGGAGGTGGATAATCTTTCCTTCTACAGAACTGATTGGCCGATAAAACAAAACAACCGCCCTCCAAGGCAATATGGGTCATTGATGCCTGCCACACTTCCCTAGCATCAGCTGTAGGTGCACAATATATCTCAATGCCTGCAACAAGGAAGAGCTTAGAAATTTTGTGGAAACTTATTTAGGATCATATTGCAAATGTGAGCATCCATTTGCTTTCCGAAACTCTCAAGTAATATACATTTCTCAAACAAATGTTGTCAGAAAATGAAAGAAACCAAGAAATCACATAGCACCCCATAAAGCTATTCAAGATACAACTTTTTCCCTTTCTTTCCTAAAAATACCAAGATAATAGCTCAATTCTCTTATTTACATTATCAATATCAAACTCTCTCTTATTAATCATGTCAAATCAAAACAAGCCCCCTTTTTTATGACTAAGAAAACATGTTTCAGTTTACAACTCAGGGATGATGGGTCTTCCTTACTATCCTTCCCCACTTAAATACGCTTAGCACACATCTTGTAATGTACTATATTTGCCATATAACCAAAGCTAAGGGGACTCAAAACAGGCCATCAGTGACAATAGTCATTCCAAAAGGTGCATCCACAAAAGTAATAATGGATCGTTCTATCAACAGTGACAATGAAATTCAGCTTCATGAACTAAAGTATAACATAAGTATTTAGATATTAGAAGACAACTGGTATACCACCCTACAAGAAGTCTTGCAAAATTCCCCACAATGTATCAAGTAATTTAGTAGTTTGAAGACATTATAATCAGAAACAACTGCAGCGTGAATAAACACAATGAATTATGGATGAAATTTAATGCCATTATTCTATTATCAGAAGCTGCACCAAGCCAGAAAAACATTTGATCTACTTTAATGCCCTAGGGGTTTATTACTTTAATAGCACAAATGAAGCAACCACTATCATTTTTTCATATACTGATATATTTATTTGAAACTTGATATATATCTGTCATGGAATGAAGCAACCACTAGCATAGATGAATTTTATTACCAAAGATGCCAGGAACTTAAGAGGCAACTAATTTGCAATATCAAAGCGTCCCTAAAACCTATGATACTCAACGGTAGGAATAGATGAACCTAAGAGATTAGCAAGCACATCTCTGACCTTTAGCATACATCGCGGTCCTTAGAAGTGGCATTCTGTTCTCCCAACATATTGCAGCACCTATTTTTCCAACAGGAGTGTCATAAACTGGAATTGTTGATCCATCCCCAAAACCCCAGATTATCCGCTCCAACGCTGTTGGCATTATTTTCCGATGCTTCCCAAGGTAGTGACCCTGAGAATCGAAGAAAAGCACTGTGCAATATAGTGTGTATCCATCTCTCTCAATTACACCCATCACCAAGTACACCTTGTATTTTCCAGCCATTGCTGCTAGGCGATCAACCTCAGGACCTGCAACCAATAATTGTAAGAGAAAGAGAGAAAAGAAAGCTGAGAAGCTTTTGCAGGGATGAAATAAGAAGGTGGGAAAAAAAGTTTGAACAAAGCACATACAAACAGAATACATATGTTTAGTGAAATGTAAAGGACTTGTAAGTTTTAGCATGGTCTACCTTAGCAACGGAGTCCAGAAAGACATTTCTAATTTCATAGCATGTTTGTTGACTCTTTTTATCCCAAATCAACAATTTTTGAACTCACCAATAAGTGTTGTGGTAGAATGGTAAAGTACTCTTTCATCCTTAACCAAGAGCTCTCGGATTTGAGTCCCCTTGAGTACGGAGTCGCCTTTGTTAGGGAGCGCTTTACCACCCCCCACCCCCAATGTGGGACTTCCCAGCGCGAATCCGAATTTAGTTGTCCTACCGGACACCGGGTGGGAAGCCAAAATAAAAAAATAAAAAAAATTGAACTCTATGTTCTGAATTTTCAAGCTAAAATCCTTCTACTTATGTTGAATTACTATTGAATACATTTAGTTTTCCTCTAACCCCAATTAACAAGAAAATGGAATTGTCATATATAGCTTAATCCTAGGAATGTGCCACAGAGTTTTTTATCATCTTCTTATTGCTTTTTGCATAAGTAATCTATTATACATATCCTTTGAGTTTTGAACAATTGAAATCACCTCCGGTCAAAAGATTTCATGGTAGAGAGGTAATTGGTAAGAGTTCCAGACCTGGCACATCAATGGCAGAAGCATGATATTTGCGAAACTCCTCCTTTCCCTTATCTGTCCGATTCCCAATTGAGACACCAAAAGTTAATCCACGTGGATAACCACCAATAAATGCTTCAGGAAACACCACCAGCTGAGCCCCATAGGAAGCCGCTTCAGCAAGAAGCCTCTCAGCCTTATCTGAAAAAATGTCAAGCAATAATTATCTCAATTCAAGAATTTAACAAACCAGAAGACTTCTTGATTTAAAAAAGACAGATAACTTTTAGAATAGAAAAATCCAGCTTCGCGACCACAAAGTAACCAAACATAATTTCATGAAGTAAACTCGATGTTTATGACTCTTTCTACCCCATGCACTAAAACAAAACCTTTCCTCTTCATGTGCAAAGACAAAGAATACAGGAGGTAGGAGTAAGGGATATAATTTGGATTAAAGGAGGTAGATGAAAAGGATATAGTTTAATTATTTGACAAAGACAAGATTGATTGAGGGCAGTGCACACTCCCAACAACATTCAAACGCTGAACAATCATACTTTCTGCTGATAGCAACTACTAGTAAACACATAAAACCTTGCAATATAACGAATCAGCTCACAGACTCTGCTCATTACTAGTTAGAGGCCTTAAGTATACTTGATTCTAAATGAAGAGAACCATATGCTAAAGCTTAAAGAATATGCCTTTGAAAAGAACTGAACTTTTGAAGGAGAATAAATCAACGTAAAGCACCATTAACAAGAGAGCTTTAAAAGTAAGATGAATTGAGTTCCCAAGTCAGAAGTTTCTTTCTTTAATTAAGGACACCATAGAAATCTCCTTCCTACTAAGGACATGACCTTAGATAGGGAGGGTGTGGAAGACACGAATTAGGGTAGAAGGTTAGTAGGTAGCAATGTGTTGTCTTGTTGTCCATTTGTATTAGTAATCATAGACTCATAGTATTGCTCATGTAGTTACTTGTTCATCAATTTTTGTTACAATATATTGTTTCTTCTTGTACCTCGATTATTGTCTTGTTTTGTTGTAGCTTCCATTCTTTCATTATCTGTTATTGTTTGTTGTTTCTTGTACTTCCGTTACTTCTTTTTCGAGGCTGCTGTGGACTGTTTTTCTTGAGCAGAGGTTCTATCGGAAGTAACCTCACTACCTCTGAGACAGAGGTAAGGTCTGCGTACACCGTATCCTCCCCAAATCATACTTTGTGCGTAAACAATACCCTCAGTTCTCATCAAAGTCTTCTATGACCTTTGTTGCCGCAAGTGCATCAAATAATTTTATTTAATTTTCTTTTTACTTAAAGTTACAATGATTAAGTAGCATATGAACACAAGGAACTGAGCCAGTAATGGGAAGATTTTGACCACAATCTCAACAAATACTAAATTCAATACTGAAAATATTTAAATCCTGGATCCACCTCTGTTACAATCATTCAAACAAGTCATATCAACAACACGAGAAAATCAAAACCGATTAAATAAGATTTGAAGTGACTCACCAAGAGTGGCAGGGGTATCATAGAAGATGGTAGAAGCTTGAACTACGGTAGCACGGACAGTGGAGGAAGAAGAATCACCACCCATTTCCACTTCAGCAAACAACGGCCCTTCGTTCACTACTGGGGTTGGGACCAAAGCCATCGGATTTTCTGCTTCTCAATTTGCAGATAGTGTTTTTCTGTATTTTGTACTCTGCTCTAATTGGAGAAAAAATAAGTAGGTTCCGGTACTTTTTTATTTGGTTAAGAGATTTCTAGAACTTTTTAGAAGGGGAGCCTCTGAGTCACCGTGCTGGCAAGGGCGGACGTTATGTTCTTCGGTTCAGTTATATCAAATTTTAATTTAATTTTTTAATTTTTGGTTTTAGAAAAGTGTGTATCGTATATCAAATCATACTAATTTGATTTGGTTTTTTCTATTTCGGTTCGATTTAATTTGGTGTTTTTAAATTGGTTTTTCGATGCAAATGAAAAATAAAATTGAGGACAAAATTAAAAGTATAAGATACTTATAAATTTAAAAATATGTTAGGAGATGATATGTATCGCCCCTGGAACATTTAATGTGCTAACTAAAAGATTATATTTATCTTTGTTAAGAACATTGTGTCTCTAACCTTCTCAAGAAAAACATGAAAGAAGACGGGTTCCTTTACCTAATGTACATTGATAAAAATATGTTTTGGTTCCTCTTGAAAATAATATTGGAAAAAGGATCTGATATACCCCTCAATTTTGTCATTTAGAGCTGATATATCCCTCGTTATAAAAGTGACTCATATATACCCCTATTGTTATACAAATGGCCCACATATACCCTTTTCCTCTAACGGAAGTGAAAAAATTAATTTTAGTTTAATTTTTTTAATTATTTAAAAAAAATATAATCGCAGTATATTTAATCTTCCTCAAACATATATTATTTTTTTAAAACTTTTTTTTTTGTTTCAATGACTAATTTAGATTTATTATTTTGATGGTCAAATTTATTTAAGTTTTGTTAATATTCTTGTAAAATTTATTATAGATGACCCAATTTTTTTCTTCAAATACAAAAACTAAATTACAATATATCCGAAAAAAATAGTTTTAAATTATAATATAGTCACGAAAAAAATAGTTTTAAATTTTTTTCTTTACACTAAGGAATGAAAGAAAAAATAAAATAAGAATAAGAAACTCAAATAATGATAACCAAAAAGTCAAAAAAAAATTAAAATATACCTTGAAATTTGCTAGAAAAATCATATATACCCCTAAATAATTTCTTTTAAAATCAAAAGTCAAAAATATAAATTTAAAACTAATTTTTTTCACTTCCCTTAAATGAAGGGTATATATGACCTCATTTTGTAACGGTAGGGGTATATGTGAGCCGTTTGTATAACGGTAAGGGTATATATGAGCCACTTTCATAACGAGGGGCATATCAGTTCCAAATAGCAAATTTGAGGGGTATATCAGGCCCTTTTCCCATTAATATTTGAAGTTAACTATTGAACTGTACATTTGTTGTTACTGTGATTTGTTCATGATTGATTTAATAGTTGATTTTTTTTATTTTTAGTTAAGAGATGCCATATATATATATATATACTCTTTGGTGCACTGAAGTTCTGAGACTTTTACACCGAACACTAAACCAAAGAATTAAACTTTTGAAAAAATAACACTGATACCAAATTGAAAAACCGAAGAATCGAATTATCGATTCTGTTCGATTTTTTGATTTTTTGATATTTATGCTCACCTTTACTAATACTGTTTGTACATACACAATTTACATAACATTTTTGAATTTGACTTTTCTTTTGAATTTTATGTAAATATGAAATAATTTACGTATTGAATTATTATTTTATGATTTTAAATATTTTATAAAAATTTATATGATTATAAATTGTTTTACTGAAGATAAAACAAAAACAAAATACATATCGAGTCATTCTTATCAGCAAGATAACGTCGAAAATTTTGATTTTTACTAAATAAGCGAGAAACTCTTTATATCTTTTATTAGTTGACCACGCCAATTGTCATCTCAAAACAATGTTAATTAGAGATAGAAAGTGCTTCAAAAGGCGATGAGTACTATATTACTTACAATGAGGAGGTGTTAGCATTCGATTATCGGTACTGGCACATCACTTGACTCACTTTCATTACCAATACTCTTTTTTTTTTAAAAAGTGTGCCAACACATCCTTTTTCATGTTCAATTGACTTAAATATTTTTCAAATTGCTTTATTTTTTTTCAATTTAAAAATTAAATGATTTCATACTAATGGTGGAGAGAACATTTTTCCAAATTTTATTTCAACCTCACCCCGTCACTCCTAATCCACTCAAATATCCTAACCCTTATCCCTTCAACCTAATACCTAATAATGTGACTGATTTTGTTCTTGATCGACTCGAGACTTGACTCATGATCACCTGATATGAAACCTGCCCCAACTTGGGACTCAACCTCAGCCTAAGCCTAATCCAGGATCTAACACTCGACCTATAAGCTGTGACTTAATTCCAAACTTGAGACCCAACTTTAAACTGTCATGGGATCAAATCCCCAACCATAATTGAGACTTATATGTCGATGTTGGGGTTGGATCTCGGAATGAGCGTCAAGAGTTCAACTCTCGAGGTCAAATTTTGAGTAATGGTTGAGTTAGGGTTGAGTCTAAGGATCATGATCTCAATCTAGATCTTGTAATTGTCGCAATTTTGATTATATCTTGGATTTCAAGGTTCGAATCTATGTCTTCAATTTAGGTTTTATGTCTTTGATGTTTAAGGCTATTTATCTTTATCTTTTTTTTTTTTTTAATATCAATAAGTTATTCAAGTTCTTTTATTAAAATATGTTTTTTAAATCATGCAAAATAAAATTAAAAAAAGTTTCACATTACTTATCATTTTTATCTCTTGCTCCCCCATTAACAAATTTCACTATTGTTAAATGTAAAGTAAAATATAATTTAATTAACCAATCACATGATGCCACGTCATTGTTTACTTGCGTTGTGTACTTTTAAAAAAACAAAATGAAATATATGTTTCTAGAGTTAAAAAGGAATGTTATCTTTAGTTTATGATAGCAAGAAGATTAACCTAAAAGTACAAGCACAAAATATACCGTCTGTCATTTCACATTATTCAATTGTTTTTTTTCTCTCTCTATCTGTTGACTCTTTCAACGCTTCCCATGACTGAGGCTGCCGCCGTATCATCCATCCCGCCGGCAACAGTAACCGGCGACGATTTCCGTGATGAATCTCTACCGCGGGATCCACTGTTACAGTCCGGAACCTACATCGACGCTGAGTCGAATGTTAACACCACACCGAACAAAGGCGTAAGGCCAGATGAAGGAAATGTGCCTGATCTAACTCCGGCGCCGGCGGAGGGAACTCAGGCGATACAGACGACGGAGACGGTGGCTGGGACGGTGACGCCTCTGCGTTATGGGAGTAGATCGGCAGAGGTGAATGTAGAAAGGCCGACCTGGTTGCCGGAGAGTTGGAGGTTCGAAGCGAAAGTTCGTACCTCTGGCGCCACTGCTGGAACTGTTGATAGAGTAAATTTCATCTCTTAAACTACATATACATATAGCGTTGGACTAACTTGTGCTACATTTAGATTATTTTGCCTCTCTTATCCTCTATTTAACAAACGAAATATAGGTTTATACTTTATTCGTCATGCTTTCTGAATGCTATGTAATGATTTCTCTCTTATATGCTATGTCTGCTCTACGTTATTTTATGTTAGTATTTTTTTAAATGCTTTTATATATGTTACTCCAGCCGAGAGTGTTTTGGAAACAGCTCTTTACCTCTCAGGAGGTAGGAGTAAGGTCTGTACGTTCTACCCTACCTAAACACCACCTGTGAATTACACTGGTTAGTTGTTGTTGTTGGTTGCTGTGTGTTACAGCAAATGCATCTGAAAATGTGGTTATTTTTCCCTCTCTGGTTCTTACTTTTGGTATTGGAGTTTGAATTAGAAGTTATTTCAGAAACTAGAGCATGAAAGATTTTTATTTGTTTGTTATGTTCAGTAAAAACAGAGACTGTTGTGTTTTGATTATGAACAATTGATAAGCTGTTATTCTTCTAGTTTGTCGTCCATTGAAGTTATTAGTTTCTTCTTTTTTAGTCGATCTGTATAACTTAACTTCAGTGAGATTGTTAGCTTTTCTGTTGAAGCTGGAAAAAATAATTCTTTCAAAGTTTCAGGAATGTTTGAACTTTGATTAAATGAATATAACTCGATGAGAATGGTTTTTCCATTGAAGGAGATAAGGGGAGCAAGTATCAGAGTGACTCTTTTGCTTTCTTTGTGAACTTCTTTATGTGGATTAACCATCTCTCTTTGTTTTCTAGCTCAAATGATTTACATGAGGAAAGGACAAGCTTCTTCTGAACTAGTGCAACATGTTCTGTTAGTAGGATTTAGGTTAGGAGGACCTTATGATGAAATTGTAGATTTCATATATAATTTAGATCAGGAGATTATATTTTTTTCTTTGAAAAGAATGATTGTTTTTCAAGTGGAAAGGGAAAGTAGAAACAGTTGGTTGTGTGCATATGTGTTGAGCTGAGTAATTTTCTTGCCTTTCTAATTTTCACATTTGTTACATGATTTTGTGAAGAGAAGTGTGAACTTGAGGTTGCTGATATGCCATTGGGAATGTGGTAGTGTAGAGAGATTGAATGGTTTGTATTAAATTAATACTCCCTTTGGCCAATTTAGTTTGATTCCATATGGAGGCTAATAAAGCAAATATTAGAATGTAGATGATAGATATATAACAAGGATAAATTTAAAAATGGTGGCTGGAATGTGGCAAAGACCTCCAACAATCCTTTGAATTTCGAAATTCAAAGGATTGTTCTGGTACCTTGGCTTATTACACGATTCTGGAATTGGATTTTGAAATTTACTCTTAATGTAGTAGTGGAACTCCATTTCGGTCTCTTCAATTTTGAAATTCAAATCCTTTCTCTGTGAATCTTGGCCAATTTATACACTTCTGGGATCTGGGTTTTTAAATTTTGCTTGTGGAAGGTTGAAGTTTAGATGATCTTGGAACCTTGTGTGTCAAAAATAGAAATTATTTGCAGGAAGAGCAGGTGAAAATGAGGGATAAGATAAGCAAATTCACCTTGGCCTCTAGTTATATGCTGTGTTTTACTCAAATGAAGTGAGAATTTATTCTACTCTGTTTCTGAAAGCGTAG